CCATTTTGCATTATGTCTGAATTCTGAACATTCCAGCCTAGACCCAAATCCTGTGTTAAGTTCTAGCTACACTTTGCTCATCTGTGTGTATACTTAAGTAAAGAAGAGCCTTTGTTAATCATTCTAATAATCAAATTCAAATGGTGAATTATTTTGGCACACAGGAGAGTTTTACACCCTGGGCAAGTGTGCCACATACAGTAAGCCAGAGTATGCCTTTATTTGTGTAAAGAAGGAAGGGTACACTTTTCAAAAGAGAAATGGGAATGGATAATCATGTGCCTATAAGCCTGTCTCAGGTAAATCAGTTTAAGAGTAAATATGGAATTGCAGGATCTGGAAATCGAGTCCCTGTACCTGCATACCCGTGGGAGACCTTTGCATACTCTGGGTTTAGGCATATCATAATTAGAAGTTCACTGTATTAAAGTATCTCCCAGTACAGTAATGCAAAATTTCCTATTCTCACTGGGCTCTAAGCCATCCCTGCCCTCTGGGATTTTCATTGTTCATGTGAGTTGGGGGCATATGCGTCAGAGTCACCTGTTGCAATTTTTCAAACTTAGCATGTCCCTTCTCCTTCTGGACTTTTCCACTTTGAGGGAGTTATGGCTCTGTGGCTAAGGTTGTCCTACACCTTTTCAGCCGTTGTTTCTGCTCAGACATGGGTCATGTCTCCCAGCTGACAACTTTTGCTTTAGTTAAACTTCTGTACTCTTGTCAGAATTTTATACCTAAAATGACAAATCATTTTCATCTTTAAAATGTGTAGTATTTCCGATGTCCTATGAACAAGAAAAAAAGTTACTTACTTTCCACAGGTTTTTGCCTTTAGAATGAAAGCTTCTTACACTCTGTGCATCTGACCTTCTTGGATTCGTTGCCAACTTTTTGCCTCAAGTGTTACACATTCTTTGGGTAGCAGTTCTCTTACACACTCTAATTAAGTCAGTGGTTCCCAGGCATGGTCCCTGGCCAGCAGCATCAGCATCTTTTGGAGACTTATTAGGAATGCAGGTTCTTGGTCCCCATCCCAGACCCAGACCCACTGCGTCAGACTCTAGGGGAGGCCCTCCAGGTGATTCTGAACCACATAAGGATCGAGAACCTCCACCCCAGTTCCATTTACCCACGTCACGCTCCTCTTTTCTTGCCTGCTGACTTCCTAGTTATCTTACAACTACGCCTTCCCGGCAGAGTTGCCCTCTCTTCTGTGTCCCCTGGAACTTTACCAGATCTTTTTTATAGCATTTATTTTGCCTGCACCTGTCTACCTTTAAAGGTGGAGGCCACAACATAAATTACTCGTGCATCTGCATACAGTACCTACCTCAGTGATAAGTTCATGTGTGCTGGCGAATAAATGAGCGTGTGCACAGATGAAGGAGGAGAACACCTTAAGAGGAGTGGTGATCGATAAGGTCAGCTGCTATGAAGGGATCGTGGAGAATAATGAAGGAAAAAAGCTGTTGGCTTTCACAGAAAGGCAGGTGTTGGTGACCTTGGAAATGCTTGCTTCAGCAGAGCCATAGGCAAGAAGCCCAGCTTAGCCGGGCTCGGTCGCTCAGCCTGTCATCCCGCGCCTTTGGGAGGCTGAGGTGAGTGGGTTGCCTGAGCCCGCGGGTTTGAGACCCACCCGGGCAACTTGGCGAGACCTCATCTCTACAGTAAATCAAAAATCAGCCGGGCGTGGTAGCACGCGCCTGTAGTTCCAACTCCTTGGAAGGCTGAGGCGGAAGGATCGCCGGAGCCCAGCAGGTCGAGGCTGTGGTGGCCGGGAACGGCCACTGTACTCCAGTCTGGATGACAGAGTGAGACTCCGACTCAAATAAATAAATAAATAGAAATTTTTAAACAATTTTAAAAAGAAGCCCAGCTTGCTGGGAGTTGGGGACTTCCAACATGATGAAGACTTTCAGGTTTCTTATCGACTATTCAATAGATGATGTAGCACAGTTTTCTTGGGTGAAGTTGCTAAGTGGCCTTAGGCCAGTTATTTTAACCTCCTTGAGCCTACGATCTCAGAATATGTGGTCATAATACTATGCATGTATGTTTTTTCCCCATTAAAGGATTAAATGAGATAATAATGAGTCCCCGGAACGTTGCCTGATATATATAGTTGGTGCTTAAATGATTACTTTCGTTACTATCCTCTTGAATGTTATTTTTCTGTGTTAATATTGTTGTAAATTTTTACAAGGCAAGAAATTGTTTAGGATACTCTTCATTCCAGTATTTCTATTTCTTGGCATGTGGTATACTTAAGAAGAAGTATCAGGTAGTGCTCTTATATTTCTCAATCCCTCTTGTTCTCAAAAGAATATCAAGGGAAATATTTTTGCCTTACCTCTTTCGTCTTTCAATTCTCTGAACAACTTCTCTCTTTTTTTCCATACCCACAATGGTTTAGTCCTCTTTATCTTTTATTTTTTTATTTTTTTGAGTCAGAGTCTCACTCCATTACCCAGGCTGAAGTGCAGTGGCACACTCACAGCCACCCCAGCGTTGACCTGCTGGGCCCAGGCGATCCTTCCGTCTCGGCCTTCCAAGTAGCCAGAACTACAGGCATGCTCTACCATGCCCTGCTAATTTTTTGATTTATTGTAGAGACGAGGTCTTACCAAGTTGCCCAGACTGGTCTTGAACCCCTGGACTCAGGCTATCCTCTCGCCTTGGCCTCCTAAAATGCTGTGATTACAGGCTTGAGCCACCGCGCCCAGCCCTCTTTATCTTTTAAAGTCACCAACCCTTTTGAATGAATGGAAGGGAGCAGGATTGCCATTTTCCACCCAACACTTGAGCACATTTGTACATTCACCTGCCTATACTTAATGCAGCGAGTGCAAGGTGCCAAGCACATGCATAAAAGCCAGGATTCGGTGTCCCCTTATTTTCCCTCTGCTGAATTCTCTCAGTCTCATATTTGTCATGAGCATAGCAGTATATTTCGTAAAGAAGCATTTCATAGGGTCCAGGAGAGTTGGTGAAGGGAAATGAAGGAGGCGCAGATTTCCCCTGATCTGGTCACTGGATTCTGTGAGCAGATCAGTCACTCATGAGAAGGCTGAGTAGTTAAGCTGTACTTGAAGAAGAGCAGGGATAATAATACTCCTTTCCTGCCTTTTTGCAGTCTAAATGCCCTGTGGAGTGAGAGAAGACTTCAATCCCTAGGCTTGTGAATCCCTTATCTTTCCCAAACGTTAAATTAATTTTTAAGGCTATTTATTCAAAGTTGACTTAACCACTAGAATAGGAAAGATCAGACAAATCAGCTGCAAGAAATGAAGTATGAGGAAACCCGAACTCTTTGACAAAGTATTCCTGGGAGTAAATGTGTTGAATGAAGCCAGCGGGTAAATGATAAGGGCCTTTACACTGTGGATGTAAGAAAGCAATTTATCAAGAGTACATGAACTCTCTAGTGACCGCAAGTCAGGAGGAAACGAGAATGGAGGAGGAGCCCTGAACAAATACATTTGAAATACTAAAAACCTGTGTGTACACCCTTTTAAATTCCTCCATTATTATGCAGAAATACTGGTATGGTAATATAGAAATTGCTCCGAGTGTACATGGACTGTAGCCCGAACTGTTAGGAAATAAGGTGTTAGGAAAAGCAGTTGAGAAAGGCCACACAGTCGTTCAGAATTTGCAGAAACCTTGAGTATTCTCAGGGTGTAGTTATGACTTGAGCCTGGATGTTGGCTGATACCACACTTGCCTGACTCACGAGGTTAGATGACTGCTTTTCAGGCTTACATGTTTATCTTGTTTAATCGCTAAATGGGCATATTTAGTGTATAGTTCTGACAGTTCATCGTAATTCCTTTCGTGTTCTCTTAAGGAGTTCACAGCGCCTTTTACTCATTATCTCATTAATCTTTGCAGCGTCTCTTTGAGGCCCATAGATGAGACAATGTTATCTTTAGAGAAACTGAGGCAAAATATAATTATATTATCAGCAGTAGGGTCCTAGTGACTCAGATAATCACGGGGACTGGAATTTATGACATTGGTTTTATTCCTAGGCTAGAGATAGCATTTCTTAGATTTGCGGAGAAAAAGATCCTCGTTGTTGAGATTTTAGCTTCATTAAAAGTATTTGCTGTAAGAATGGTCACCTTCAGTATTCTTTACTGAGATAATATAGTTAGCTAAAATATACAGAAATTTCCAGATTTTGATCTCATCATTTGTTTCTATTTTCATCTATTCCCTTGTGAGAGCTGTTAACAAGGTGACTAAATTATGACTTGAATTTCTTTTTTTGTTTCCTAAATAATATTCAGAGAACATACCAGTGAACACAAAAACTATCTAACAGGCGAACAGCAAGAGAGAAATTGGGAGAGCTAAGTTTTCAGATCATCTCCCTTAGCTAATATGACTTGAATTAAATTACTAACCCTCCACACAGATGCCAGCTTTCTTTATTTTCTCTAAATTAGGCCTTTTGCTCCTGTAGTCTAAAGAGCATACTCCTTTCCCTCTTGAAATCATCTGAAAATTATTTATAAGGGGTAAGTTGTATTTAAAAAAGTGGTGATATTGATTGAGTCTCCTCTATGGTATGATTTAGAAATGGTTTTATTTTTTGAGGGAGGGAAAGGGGACACCATGGTAACTTGAGTTGAGGCATAGTTATTTAACAAATCGATTAGTCAGGTTTTTAGCATCAGCCACAGTCATTTAAAAACATCCTCAGTGACTCTTTCTAAAAGTTGGATGTGTTTTGTATCTGCTGTCTTTTGCAGTTAATAAACACATTGAATGAAGGAGGGAGAGAGAGAGAGAAACAGGCAAAACAGGGGGGGAGGAGAGCTATTTACATGCAAAACCTTGCTTTAACATTGTAGCTATCATTCATCTATACGGATGGAGCCCTGACAACTTCCAGTAATGTTTCTAATTTCTCTGTCCTCTCCCTTTCTCTATCCACCCCCAACTCCCTTGCCCCCCTACCCCCTGTCTCCCAAACTCTGGTGGGATCACCACAGCCTTGGATAAGCTCAGCACACAGCACTTGTACCACCCCACCCAAGTGGAGATTGTGCAGTCCAACGTGGTGTTTGACATCAGCAGCCTGATGCTCTATGGGACGCAAGCGGTGCCCGTGAGGCTAAAGATCCTGCTGGACCGTCTCTTCAGCGTCCTGAAGCAAGAGGAAGTGTTGCACATACTGCACGGCCTGGGCTGGACTCTGCGGGACTATGTCCGAGGATACATCCTTCAGGTAGGGGGAGGACTTGAACGCCGGGGTCTGGGGCCAGTTCTAGGCGGGGGAGGGTGAGAGCCCTTAGAACGCCTAGTCTCTGTCCCGTCCTGTGCCTTGCAGACCCCGCATAAATACCCTTTTCTGGCTCAAGGGGTCATTTCAGGAGGCTTGCCATGGACGTGGAAAGGAGAGATACCAGCAGGCCTCAGTGGTGTGTACTGAAGGGGGAAAAAATGGCCTGTTTATTCGTGTTGTTTTGTTCGCACCTTTTTGAATTCAACTCTCTTTCCTTACCACGTGGGCTGTCTGGCTTCTCCAGCAAATCTTCCTGCAGCCCCATTAAAAGGGAGGGCTCTTTGAGGTGGGTGATGAGTGTGTGAAAATCTGAAGTTACCCTTCAATTAAGTTTGTGAGGACTTTTTCTCATAGTCTGTTTGTAGATAGGCTGTTTTTCTTGGTTGTCTTTGTGCCTGCACTATTTATTGTTTCTTCATCCGAATCGAATGAGGAGCTGTAACCCACGTAAAGTTACGTAACCAGGAAACCCTCCTATCATAGGCCTCATATTTCTACATTCTGAAACATGCAGACATGATTATAGATTTGGCCTTTATGGCACTTGTTCTCCCATCCTTGTGGCCCTCCTTTGTATCAGTGGCACTTCTAATCTGGTAAGAACCTTAAAACTTTTCTGGACAGCCCATCACCTTCACTTATATAAGTCTCCCACCCCCACCATCTCCCACCCCCACCTTTCTTTCTTTCTTTTTTTTTTTAAATATGTCATGAGTCATTTTACATTGTGTACTTTGCCTCTGAAGTGTGTGTGTGTGTGTGTGTGTGTGTGTGTGTGTGTGTTTAATGACCATCTGTCTTTCTACACACTTGAGGGGTAAATGTTGAAAAGCCATTTTGGGAGACCCCAGGATTCAAAAAAGACAGCAATGGATAATGAAGAAGTACCCCCTCCTATTGCAGAGATCTCAAATCTCAATTGGAGAAGGTGGCCTCTGAAGCCGTTTTTGAAATTTCCGAAAACAGTAATACCAGGAGACTTGACCCCTTTAAAAAAAAATTTGGTTTTGACTGTGCCACCCCTGTACCGTGCTGGCGATATCTCCTGCGTTTATTGCCTTAGACACCTGTTTTATATGCAGGGCCTTGGCTGCCAGCTCAGGAATGTAGGGAGTAGGGAGCCTCAATCTCTCCCTGACTTTAATCACACAAATGCCTGTCATTCTCCTGTGTGGTACCTTCAGGTGTTAGCCAGAGCAATGGAGAGACGGTGAGTAGAAGCAGAGAAAGATAGGGGAGGTGGAATAACCTGTCTGTTCCCAGAATAAAGTAGTTTCTTAATTTAGTGCGAATCTCAACTTGGAAGACACAGATCATGTGTCCATCAGAAGATGAGATGATGGTGATAATAAGTCATAATTACGTATTATGATTTCAGTTTAGAGAGCATGTTCACAAGCATTATCTCATCTGCCTCAGGGTGGGAACATTTCCGTGGGATAGGTGGGAAGATAAGTCCTTAGGTGGTCAGGGGACTTGAGAGGCACAAGGGGGCCAGGAAAAACAAAGCGTGAACTAGTTTTACAAGCCCTGCTTATCCTGGCCCCAGGATGCATACAGTGCCACATCCTTCTGCGATTATTTGCACAATATGGTTGTTCCTGTCTATTTTGGATGGGCATGAAGGAACAGCCCTCTTAAAGCTCCTTGAATGAAACTGCTAGCTGGCTGTCTTTCCTTCATTCAAAATCTACAAGTATTTTGCCCCAATCTAGGATAGTCTTCATTATCTTCACTATGATACTTATACTTCTGCCGTCAATGTTGTATTTCAGTACCACGTGTATTTTTTGCCTAAGATATTTGAAGCCAATGCATTGTATCTTTCTGTTCCAACAAGTACAGATGCGCATGGGTATGCTGATTTGTCATCCAACTCACTGTAGCATTTTGATGGCAGTCAGTGACAGAGCCTGATACTGTGTCTGTGGTATAGTACTATTGTTCTGCCTTAACCAGTGCCTGTTTTTCATTTTACTTAAAATAACTATTTAGACGTTAACTTTTCTTCCTAGCATTTCAATGTGTATCTTTAAGGCAAGTATAGAAAATGTATTCCTTTAAAATGTACTTCATATTTCTTTTTTGTGTATGGATCCAGTATTTAAAGATACAAAATTGCAAGAGAAGTTAGGTATGAGAGGAAAATGCAGCAAAACCACAGATTGGCCAAAATCTCTTATTTGGTGGGTAAAACACTGCATGTAAAAAACATTGCCATTCGTTATGATACTTAAATTACAATTAATTTTTATTTTAATACAGATTTTGACAAAGTCTCTGATATAATGTCTCCTTTCAGAGCCTAGAGTTGACGTTTTGAGAAAATCATAGGCGATTTTTACATTAGAGGAGTTCTAGGTTTAGTTTCTGTTTTGTTTTATTGGTAGAATTGATGTAATATAGATTTCATTTAAATGATGGTTTTTGTCATTCAGCATTTATCATCTACTTGTTCTTGTGAAAACAGTTCTTGGTTTAGGAAAAAAGCAGAGGTTACAAGACACAAAACTGTTATCACTTATACAGTGAAAAAATGCCATTTTGGTCTTTAAAAAAAGCTAGACTATAAAAATAAACCCTCTAAAGCAGTATTATTTGATAATTGGCCAATATTTTAAAAATTATGTGTAGTAATGATAAGGTATGCACAATGCCTTTGAATATAATTATATATAGCATTTTTTGTACTAGTAGGCTATAAAATGTACGTCCAAAGGCTGTGGAACCCCATAATGCACTATTAGTGAACAAGTCATTTTATCTGGCTAAAACTCAATTGTCTTGTAGCCCTCAAGGCATCAATTTTAGCATTATTGCTCTCAACAACAGTATATTGAATATTATGTCAGTTAAAGGAGAATAATTATCAAGGCAAGTTAGGATGGCTGTTAGTCTTACCACATATTGACTTGGTTAGCAGTTGGCTATAGATTGTGTTACTGGGCAGATGAAGATGTACGGTAAGTTGAACTGGTCAAGCCAGGATATTAATTTAACTCTCGATGGGCCCAGACCAGTATTCCTTATGTATATACAGATACTTGTGCCTTCAGAGATGCTTTTGAATGCAGAAGAATGACCGGTGTCTGATCTGATCTGAATTTTTGGATGTAGGGAGAAAGGAAAACAGGCCGTTCAAAAATACGATTTGAAAGTGTGAGCTAGGTGTGATGGCTCAAGCCTGTAATCCTAGCAGTTTGGGAGGCCGAGGCGAGAGGATTGCCTGAACTCAGGGGTTTAAGACCAGCCTGGGTAACTTGCTGAGACCTCATCTCTATTAAAAAAAAACACACAAAAAAAACCTGGCGTAGTAACGCATGCCTGTCGTTCCAGCTACTTGGAAGGCTGAGGCAGAAGGATCACCTGAGCCCAGCAAGTCAAGGCTGCAGTGGCCATGAGCATGCCACTGCACTTCAGCCTGGGCAACAGAGTGAGACTCCAACTCAAAAAAGAAAAAAAAAAGTGTGTAAGAAGAATTTAAGAGAAAAAGAGAGATGATAGTGATGCCACCAATTCATTTAAAAGACTGCCACATCTGTCAAGGATCCTGTGCTTTTTGAATAAAAATTCCTCTTCACTTGTGTGATTATCTATGTAATTCATAAGCTAGCCAGCTGGGTGTAAAATGCATAGCATAACTTGGACTATAATTGTTTAAGAAATCAGGTACTATCTTAATGGTAAGGAACCCAATAGTCTTCTATGTTCTTATTAAAGTATTTATTCAGACAGTACCGAAAAAAAGGAAGCTAAATTTCAAGCATCCCTCCCCCAAAAGCAACAAAAATAGGAATATGCAATTAGATGCTAAAATCTTAAATATAAGAGAGCATGGGATGGTTCTTCTGCTATTAAAGGATAATTCTTATTTCAGGTCTGTATCTCATGATACATTTATTGAAAACAAATAAAAACTGTGCTCCACCCTTTTATACTTTCTCTTTTGACCTAGGAAATAAAAACATAGGTGGTTGTCACTGTCGAGTTAGTCATTTAAAAATCAAGGCCTCGCACAGTCTTTTTTGTTTGAGTGTGGAACTGACTTGCTTGGGCTCATCCAGTCCCCGGTCTGTGGAGATCTCTTCGTTTGCAAGTGGGTTTTGCCAGAATTCAGAGAAGCAGTTCAGACATTGCGGATACTTAGCCGAGGTGTCAGCAGCCTTGAGAGAAGAGTGGCAGTGGTGCACATCTCAGGTCACCTGTGTCTTAGCAGAACAGTCGGCCCTTTTAGAGCATTTCTCCAAGACTGATGGGGGTGTTAGTCGGATACACGTTAGCAAAATGCAAGCTCTGAGAAGTTCTGGAATAAGTGGCCTGTGAGAGCAGGTGAGTAGCTTTCACCAATTCTTACGCACTTCATAACCTTTTTCTGTCAAACTCATTGGGAGTATTAAGTTCCGGAACACAGTCAGCTCTTCCACAATGTGGGGCACTTGCATGTAAGGTTTATTCTTCCCAGAATACCTTAGCTCCTCTCTTGATATGACTGATTTCTTGTCTGTTAGGTATCAAAATCCCACTTTCTTACGGAGGACTAGCTTAACCAGTTCTTTCCTAGCATGGTTCTATCTTAGGACTCTGTTTCCTTCCAACTCCTGATGCAATTTAAAATCCACCAGTTGAGTCAGCTGTTAAAATGATTTTTCTGGCTTCCTCGCTAGAGAATGCCACAGATGCGGGACACTCAAAAAATGTTGGTTAAATGAATGGGTAAGGATTCTTGCTTACCTTGGAGTAGATTGTTGTTTCACCGTGGAATTTACGGAATATCCAATAAATGTAATTGGTCAAAGGATCCTTAGTTTTTCTTCTGGCTTCCTAGGGACTGATCCAGTAGCAGCTGCTGGGGTTGAGGACAATAAGAAGTGTCTTCTAGCAAGTGGTCTGTGTAGAATAAGTATTTTGTGGTATCTGTGTAATAGAAAACAGCAATATTAAGT